TCCCCCTTTCATTTTGAAGAAATGATTTTTCCACTTGTACAACAGAACACGCCAACAGAGTCAGGCTCATCTGGTTCCAAGATCATTGTCGATGACTCAATAGATAATACTGATGGTGGTACACAAGAACACTATAAAAATGGGGACAACATCAGGTGGACTGAATTTTATGAGTTTCATAAGCCACATTATGAGCAGTGTTGATGGGAGTTGTGGTCTCATAGGCCACATTGCCAGTAGTGGGGATGGTAGTAGTGTGAGACGGCTCAGTTGGAATGGAGGAGGTGGTGGTCAGGGGAAGAACTACCTCATCATACACTGCCACTGGTACTGGAGGAGAGTTCACATAACACACAGTCACACACCACACCCACCCCTATACACCTGCAGATCGCTTCTTCTTGTGGGCATGGCACTGTCTGACTACCACCAGTAGCACCAACACTGCTGTGACACATATCATAACTCCTGCTAGTGCTGTACCTGTGTGAGAAAGAGAGTAATTCTGGGAAAGTAATACACCACCTACCTATGGATATGGCAACAACTTGCGTATCCAAAATCCCTTCCTCACCTGCAGTTCAACGAATGCACATTTACCAAAACTTGCCATAAACTGTGTAAACATTGCTTGTCTAAAATGAAAAGCACTAAAGTGCAAACCCTCGGCGAAATCCGCATGCACGGTACCGCTAATTGATGGGCTAATTTGCAATTGGCTTGTTCACTTGCTTTTCACGCCATAACTTTTGAACGCAGTAGTTGTACGAAAATCGCCTTTTTGAAATGAAGCCAGTGTAGCAATGAACCAGTTGGTATCGCTGTTTTGTTGTCTCGTTGCGCGTGGTGGCAGAAAACATGGTAACGGACAGACATACGGACGGAAGGAATGGTAACCCTTGCTGCGCATGCACGCCGAGGGTTAACAAGACCCTCGGCACAAGGAATGCAGGCACATGGCGTTGATGTGTACAATATGCGTAACAGTTAAGGTCCAGGCAGGCAATCCAGTATATACTGTAACCTGTGGGTGCACCCCGAGAGTTAAAAAGATACTCCACATGCAAGACAAGGGCTAATTGGACATACCAGAGGATGTACTAGTTGGTGTGGTTGTCTCAGTAACACTCACTCTTCCTGTAATAATTGGTCTTTCATCAACCCTGGAACCATTCTTTCCAAATATAGCAAATGTGTATTTCTCAAGATCTCCACCAACAGTCAGAGTCACAGGGAAGACAGTGTTCTGAGGATATTCCTCCACCACTAGTGTCTTGTTACCATACTCTCGATAGACCAGGACACATGAGGCTCCCTCTATACCTTCTTTGAACTTACAATTCACTTTCACTGCTGTCCCATTCCAGTACAAACTGCCATTGTTTAGAAATTGAGATTCTGCATCAGCGATGGGACCTGCAATAGAAAATGTAATGAATTGTAAAATGTATAAAACAGCAGACACTCACCATTCCCCAGAACAGTGACAGTAGTGCTCTGTTCAACAGCAGGATGGCTGTTAGGCAGTTCATCTTCTTCAAGGTCATAGACAAACACATGATACGTTGAAGATAAAATGTTATCAATAATACTCTGTACGTAAGTGCTGGAGTCATCAGGCAGTAGTAGGGCCCTCAATACATCAGGATTTCCATATTCACATTGTAAAACTAGGAAACACCCTTTAGCTGTTGTGCTTTCAATGAACTCTCCAGTGAAAGTGATCTCATTATTGGTACCCTTGGTGGTGTCAGCAGCAGCACTCTGGACATCATATGTAGCTGTAGACACATAATTATATCCAATCATTGCCCTTGGCACAATAGATAACAGAATAAGCATGAAATTGGGTATATGTATGCATATGGATTTTTCAAGGACTGTTCAATGACCAGATAAACGTAAGCAGCATACGAGTGTTTCATGTGAATACAGAAAACTGTGGACCTACTATGTACATGTAGTATTGGACACGAAAGACCCACCCATTCTGACATTTCCACATAAGGGTTAGTAAAAAGGAGGCAAATCTAGTGCTGTTTGTCATAAATACAAAAATATTACTGAAATTGATCCGCGAGAGGGCTACTCCACTAGTGAAAATAGAAAGGGACACCATGAACGAATATCTATTGTCAGCACGGAGTTGGTAGGTGACATCTGGTCCTTCTGGTGATGGAGGCTTTTCAATGACAAGACCATCATCATCTACATCAGGAGTGACTCTCCAGCTACTACAAAGTTCTCTGGTGGGATTACTCTATCATAAAAACAACAGGCATTGAAACATTAGTATTGTGTAAGGTACTTACTACTGACCGTAAACATAACATTGGTCTTCTCCCTAGAGATAGCTCGGATGTGAGTCTTTATAAGTGCTGACACTAGAAGGAGAACAGAATTGTTACAGAGTTAGTTGTCTGTTCATACGGGAATGGCAGCAGATATGCAATATAATTATGCCACGAGTCACATCAGCACTCGGGGTCTGCACAAGTAATTCTGTGCCATTTTGCACAAATGGCAAAATGGCATATCAAAGTATCCAGCCAAGCATGGTATGGGCATTTGCACACACCCATATGTGATGTTGCATCAAAGAGATACCCAGCTATCAACACGGAATCTGATGCTAGGCTACAAGCTATCAAGGACATTGTGTGCTATTTTTAAAGAAATTGAGAGAACAGGATGGCAAAAGTAGACGTAGCATGTAAGTTCAGTATTATACCTCGGACGCAGGGGCAGTATAATTATACTAAAAAATAATGCAGCATTGGGACATAAAAGAGTAGGTACTAAAAATGAAATTCGAAGCAGATGCAGATAACCAGCGCATTGCCGCTATATAATGTACTCACAGTTGATAACATATCCAGTGATATTGGGACTCCTCTCTCCCTGGCCAGCTCCATTGAATGGGATGACAGAGAAGAGAAACTTCTGACAGGGAGTGGCAGAGCCAGGAGTGAAGGTATAACTTGTGTTAGTAACGTCGACAGAGGGGATGGCTGTTGGGGTGTTCTCATCTGTCACATTGTAGATGAGGACAGAGTACCAGATATCAGGATCAACACCAGTCACATCCAGAGAGAATGGAGCACTCCACGAGATGGTCACTGAACTGGCATTGCTAGTGGCTCTCAGACCACCTACTGCTGACAGTGGACCTGAAATAAATGGCTACCAATTTCCTGACTTATAATACACATTTCAGCTAATACCTTGAATGGTCAATGTGGCATTGTCACTCTCCACAAAGGAGACACCAAATAACCCTGACAGACACTGAACTTTAGTTCCATTGTACTGGGCTCTGGCTGGAATGGTCAGATTCGTCACAAAAACACCTTCAGGAGTAGTAATATCTGAGGTAACCAGATCACGAAGTATGTCAGGCGGAAATGTTTCTCGCTGTGTTCCATTGACTCTCCACAGAGTGGTGCCACCTCTTGTTTCACATGTAAAAACTGCTGGTTTGTTTAGAAAGACGGTTGAACTCTCAGGAGCATGGAGAATCTCTGGTGTAGAGAGAAAGAGATGGCAATTTTTGGGTGTCAGGAGTGAAAGAGTGCAGCTCGAGCTTACCTTGTGCAACGAGAGGAATAGAAAAACTGATGAGCAACACTGCGACAACACTTAGTGACGACCTCATCGCTCTGGACCTCGCCGAATGGATCTACGCATGCGCACTTTCCCCCATCGAATCGCGCGCGGACCGGATATGTAACCGGAAATCAAGCCGGAATCAATAGAAAACGAACCGGCAACGAATGGTATTGCAGGGTACTGAATTGTTGAGTGTGAATCAGATATTTTTCTATTCCGGAGCTTGAGAAGGTGTATATACTGCTGTGCTTTCAAAAGCACGTGTTCGTGCCTTAGAAAAAAATTAATATTACAAGTCCATTTTCTTACAACAGAACATACCAACAGAGTCAGGCTCATCTGGTGCCAAGATCACTGTCATGACTCAATAGCTAATTATACTGGTGGTGGTATACAAGAACACTATAAAAATAGACAACATCAGGTGGACTGAATTTTATGAGTTTCATAAGCCACATTATGAGCAGTGTTGATGGGAGTTGTGGTCTCATAGGCCACATTGCCAGTAGTGGGGATGGTAGTAGTTTGAGACGGCTCAGTTGGAATGGAGGAGGTGGTGGTCAGGGGAAGAACTACCTCATCATACACTGCCACTGGTGCTGGAGGAGAGTTCACATAACACACAGTCACACACCACACCCACCCCTATTGTACCTGCAGATCGCTTCTTCTTGTGGGCATGGCACTGTCTGAATACCACCAGTAGCACCAACACTGCTGTGAGACATATCGTAACACCTGCTAGTGCCGTACCTATGAGAGAAAGAGAGTACAATTCTGGGAAAATAGTACACCACCTACCTATGGATATGGCAACAACTTGCGTATCCATTATCCTTTCCTCATCTGCAGTTCATCAAAATATACAATGTGCGTTTAAAACTTGCCCTAGTTGTGCACCTAGGTGCAAAAACATACCTGAAGTGGTTACTTCAGTCTGTGGTGTTGTGGTTGTCATAGTTATTTGTACATTTCTTGTTACAATTGGTCTTTCCTCTAAATCAAAACTGCTCTTTCCAAAGACTGCGAATGTGTATTGATCTCCATCAACAGTCAGAGTCACAGGGAAGACAGTGTTCTGAGGATATTCCTCCACCACTAGTGTCTTGTTACCATACTCTCGATAGACCAGGACACATGAGGCTCCCTCTATACCTTCTTTGAACTCACACCTTATCTGAACCACCGGGTCATTGATGACCAAACTCACATTATTCAAAACATTAGATACTACTTTAGAGACTGCCTCTGTAACATGACGTAATAGTTTACTAATTTTTCAATTGGCAATAGACTCACCGTTCCTATTAGCAGTAATGACATTGTTTGGTTCATATAGTGCTGGGCTCCTATTAGGGATCCCATCTTGCTCCAGGTCATAGAAAAGGGCTCTGTATGTTGATGATGGTGCGTCACTGATGGTGCTAGTCAGGGTGGTGTTAGGCCCAGGTCTTAGCAAGGCTCTGAACACATCAGCAGAGGACTCATTCCCAGACTGCAGCACCACAAAACATCCTCTGGCTGTCGTGCTTTTGATGAATTCTGCAGTCACAATGATCTCACCATCATCTCTGACACTAGAAACTGTGGCACTCTGGACATCATGTGTAGCTGTAGAAGAAACACATTATCACCAGCTCTATAATATAGGGTGAAAATTACTGATAGGAATGGGTGAGGTAGAAACTTCAAATGAATATTCTCCATCTGAACAGAGGTCAAAGGTGAGTTCTTGTAAAGATAGAGACACAGCAATGATGCAACCATCTCCTTGTTTAGGAGTCATTCTGTAGCTGCAAATACATCCCTATAAAAAGAGAAACTGCAGTGTTAATGTGTGTTGCAAATGAGATGTTTTGTTTGCTAGAGGCCAACATAAATGAGGCAACTTGGTTGCTTCAACAAAAACAGTTACAGCAACTTCTAAGGTATTGTTGTGATAGGCCTATATATAGGCAACAGGTTGGGGTTCTTCGTGTTGCTTTTTTGTTCCATAGTGTATACATTCCTACTATTTTCCTGCTCACACAGAATACACACACAGACCAAACACTGAAACTTACCAATATGTGAAATGTCACTCTGCTTACACTTCTAGAGACAGCTTCAATGCAAGGCTCTTTAACTGCAGAGTAAAGTATAGTAAGTAGCTGTAGTTTGTGAAAAGTCTACCATTATGCAAGCACATGCACTGATCCTAAGCTATATATGTCATAACATGCAAGGTGCAACTGTGCATACCAAAACCACACTTCAAAACATATCCAGAGATAAAGGGACTGCTCTCTCCCTGGCCAGCTCCATTGAGAGGGATGACAGAGAAGTCGTACACATGGCAAGGACTGAGGTAGTCAGGAGTGAAGGTGTAATGTGTCTCAGTGATATTCATACAGTCAGTACAGAGGATGGCTGTTGGGTTGTTCTCATCTGTCACATTGTAGATGAGGACAGAGTACCGGATATCAGGATCAACACCAGTCACATCCAGAGAGAATGGAGCACTCCACGAAATGGTCACTGAGCTGGCATTGCTAGTGGCTCTCAAATCACCCACTGCCGACGTGGACCTGAAAAAATGGTACTATTCTGAATCTTTAGACGATGGTCATCATGACTCCAAAACCGATATGCTGAAGCACTAACAGTTATGTACTGGGGTCTGGCTGGAATGGTCAGATTCTGCACTGTAGTATCTTCAGGAGTAGTAATCTCTTCTGAGAGAACCAGGTCACCACGTATGTCAGGCAGAAAAGCTGCTCGTTGTGTTCCATTGACTAGCCACAAAGTATCGCCACCTCCAGCCTCACATGTAAAAACTGCCTGTTTGTTTAGAAAGACAGTTGTACTCTCGGGAGCATGGAGAATCTCTGGTGTAGAGAGAAATTACAGGGAGATGTGTGGGTGTCAGGAGTGAATGAGTGCAGCTCGTGCATACCTTGAGCAACGAGGGGAATAGAAAAACTGATGAGCAACACTGCGACAACACTTAGTGACGACCTCATCGCTCTGACCGGCCTCTCGCGCTCGCCCAGAGAAAATGGATCTACGCATGCGCACCTCCTCCACCGGTCGGTACAGAGCGCGGACCGGATCGATATATAGAACAAGCCGGAAACAAAGTCGAAAAACGAACCGGCAACACCACTATATATAATTATTCAGAATCAACTATTCCTCTATTAAGGTTTACGGAGCTTGAGAAGGGTTGTACTGCTGTGCTTCAAAACGCCCTATTTACCTCTTAGAAATGTACAAGTCATCATTTTCTTATATACAACAGAGATATGCAATTCATGATAGAACACGGCAAGAGTCAGGCAGAGTGGTGCAGGCAAGAGGAGAGAGACAATGAGGAGAGAAAGAAATGAACGTGAACTATGGTTACTAAAACAAATCTCTACAAAGTTACAATAATAATGAGAAACAGAAACCTGTTTCATTATAGGCAAGGTCAGAGTGCAAAAGTGCAGAGTGCATTGCTATGGAGGGCTGCATGGTTACAGACACAAAGATGGACAGACAGACAGAGAGAGAGAGCAGACGAAGGGAGAGAGAGCCGACTAGAGCTAGTGCTGAGTGGTTGACGAGGAAGCCTGTTCAGTGTCCAATGAGGAGGAAGTGGGTGTGGCTTTGCTGACAGACTCCGCCCCCTTTTGTATGTGGGAGGGCAGTAGGACTGACTGTAGAGACGGTCGGATTGCCAGCTCTGTGAGGAGAGAGACAGAGGGACAGATGAGCTAATATGTAAATCATGTGATTTTCGGAAAATGTTAGAGCCTGATTCGGTGTAGTAAGGCACAGATCCTTTTAGGGGCTGAGACCCTCTTTTATTAACTACATGCCTACTCAATAGCATGCTACCAACATATATACCTTGCAGGTGATGCGTACCTTGCTGGGTGAAGTCAAAGAGAGGAGGGAGAGATCGTCCTGATGGGAGGGTCTTCCCCGGCTCTCGCAGCTCGTCAAAGAAACCGTGTGCGCAGGCCTCCATGGGGTTGGCCCTCAGACCTGGCGTGTACTCCAGCAGTTTGCTCACCAGCTCTATGGCCTCTGGAGAGGTCCGTGGTCGGAACACCTGGAGAGAGAGAGAGAGAGAGAGAGAGATGTTGTAACTTGAAGCTCTAAGATGGTGCTTGTTTTCGAGACTCAATGTCAATGTGGTTGTTCTACAATCTTTCTGTGTCACATTCAACAAAGCTTGTGCTTGGTGTTTGCTAATGGAGATATATCGTATAGTGTGTGTCAGCTGGAAGGTGAGGGTGGAGTCACGGGGCCAGACCCCGCCCTCTTAAGAGCCAGCTGATTGATGTTTGTTGCCCGGCAAGGAGAGGTTCAAAGGTCACTCCATCTCCACCGTGGGCAACAGACTGGGTCAAAAAGACCCCACCTAGTCGTTTGAATGCAGGTTTATTCATTGGTATGAAACCCACACTGCACACATCGTAATGATGTGATTCTAAATAAGCGGAAAAATTTCGAAATGTCCGGGTTTGCTAGCCCAAAAATTCATTGAGTGTTTGTGCAGGGTCACATATTATGTGGACTACCTTATTCCAGGGGTGGGCCTTGATCTGAGGGAACTTGAACTCAGTGTAGTTGGAGTTCATCTGTCGTATCTGCTCCTTGGTGGGCGTCCCGAGGACCTTGATGATCTCCACCAGCTGGTCGACTCCACTGTCACCTGGGAAGATGGGCTGGCCCAGTAGCAGCTCTGCAAACACACACCCAGCACTCCAGATATCTGCAGAGGAAGAGAGAGAGGAGGATGAGAGAGAGAGAGGGGGAAGAGAGGTAAATCTAGTGTTGACGACAGACACACATGTGGCACACAGAGGGATAAGAATATCACCATATTTCGTGTAGTCTTAAAATGAAGTAAAAACCCACACAGCATAACTTTTAAACCTTTGCACTAGCCCAGAGTGTGCAGTCAGACAGAACACAAGTTGTTTGTCCATCACCGGGAAATTAAGTCGTTTGTCGAAGAGTTGAAAATGCCCCAGTACCTGAGGTGAGGCCAATCTACATCACAGGATATTGTTGGCAGCACTTGAATTGGGCAATATCGCCACAAAAACAGGACATGTATAAAACATTGGCACCAGATTTCCAGTCTATTACAGTGCATCTCATGTCCCAGATGAGAGAGAGAGAGAGAGAGAGAGAGAGAGAGAG